TTGGTTCCATGAGCCCTTCCAGACATAAAAGTTAGAGCAACAAGTCTTGGGTTGAGAAATTTGCTATCATCTTCTTTTTCCTATAATTTACATTATTTGTCTGGGTAGGAGGAAGGGATATGTGGGATAAGGCGCATAGGATCTTCACCATCACTATCATCAGATAATTCATTATGGGTAAATTATATGTCACCTACTTACGCGTGGCTCTGTTCAAAGTGGGTTGAACATATGCATTCTCAGCATTAACATATAATGATGTCCAGAGTGCCCATAGCAAAAGGATATATTCTTAAGCTAATGTGTAAGTTACACATGCTATTTGGCAAGACCAGAGAGTAAAAAGTTGAATGAAGTATGAAAGAGACTCATTTTAGACACGAGAATCTCAGTTAAAACAGCCAATCCCTCCAGTCCCAGAATCTCAACAAGGGAGTAGCTGTTGCTTTTAATCTGAGCTTCTATGAAGATAACAAAAGTGTTTCTAGGAATAATTTAATGTGTAGGGGAGGAAGAACTATTTCTCTACCTTCTAGGTCCTTCTGGTAGGTCTAAGAATTAAATTGACATAAGGCAGAATAACAGAAAAAAATCGAACGAATTTAATAGCTTGTAAACATAGGAAAAACCCAGAAAAACTGTGTAACTCACCAAAATGGCTGAAGCCACAACCTTAAATACCAACTTCAGCTAAAGACAAAGGAAGATGTTGGGGGTAGTGGTTTGGGACTTCAAAGGGGAGAAAGGCAATTTACATGGAGATGGAAAAGCAGATGTTTGGCACAAATGTTGACCATGCCTTGGAAAGACAGTAGACTGTGGGGAGGACTTTCATTAATGAGCCTTACTAGGTTCCTCCCTGTCTAACATTAGAGTTATCTATAATGATAGCTCCTTCCTGGAACAGGCCTTCTATCTCAAATTCTTTTAGACAGTTAGGTGGAAGGTCAAAGTTTCTTTCTGAGTCTTTTGTTCTCAAAAATAATCAAGCCAGGGGCAGGCCCAGTGGTGCAGCAGTTACGTTTGCGATTCTGCTTCAGCGGCCCAGGGTACAGTGGTTTGGATCCTGGGTGTGGACCTCCTCACTGCTCATCAAGCCTTACTGAGGCAGCATCCCACATAGAAGAGCTACAGCTCTACAACTATGATACACGAATATGTACTGGGGCTTTGGGGAGAAAAAAAGAAAAAGAGGAAGATTGGCAACAGATGTTAGCACAGGGCCAATCTTCCTCAAAAAAAAAAAAATAATAATACTAATAATCAAGCCAAAGAGAAACATTTTGGGGTGGCAAAGTCTGATCCTCCACAAATGCATACTTCAGAATGAGAAGTATTTGTATTTTATATTCAAATATAAATACATTAAATAATATGTGAATGCAAAGATGTTCTCAGTAATATTTTACTTTCTTTTGTAGCTAAGGGCCCTTGGAGCTTCCTCTTCTGTGCTTAGTTGATCTTTCTCTGTGTTCAGCATTGTTCTTGGCTCATACCTATCTCACTTCTTATACTAGAGCCCTTATTATTTACAAGGTTTTTGCATCTTCTGCTAATGTGTAATCTAAAAGCCATGTCAAGTGGCACATCTTTATCAATCAATAGCTACAAAGAGTTTATCCCTCTCATACACACTGCAGAAATGCTACTGACATTCTTTGCTTATAAAGCTCTTCTTTTCTGGGTGTGCTTCATCTATGTTTTCTCTGATAATCCCACTAATGTGTTCCTCTATCCTGTGATAATCTGATGGGTTTTTACAGTTTTTGATAAGAAGAGTCAATTTTTACTTGGAGCTGGAGCTGATGGGAGGCTGTTAGGAAGAATGATGGATATTATGACATGTTTTAGGCAAAAGGTTTATAATACATCCTCCACCCAACATTTATCTTAGTGCTATCATTGTAACCTAGAGCACTTGAAAATTATTGTATACAAGTTAAAGGGTAAATTATTTTTATAATGAATGATACAATTTTACTTTTTAGACCAAATGATGTTGGATTGTGTTTTTGGTCTCTTTTCTAAGGACTCAAAGGGTAAGCACTCACGTCTTTAATCCAAAATGCTCAGTGTCTCAGGAATGCCCATAGTGGTTCAGACTTCCCAATCTGATGCCAGACATGAGTTTATATGTCCCCTGCCTCTTCATCTCCACCTTTGCTCCATTGTGATTCTACTCCCCTAGGTAATCTGTGGTAGCGTGTGCATCCCTAAGAGTTGCTGGACCTGGGGCAAGAGTACAAATGGAGCCCTACATATTTTATGTCTCATTGTTTATTAAAAATCAAACAAATACTGTTAAATAAAATATATTCTATCCTCCCACTCTGACAGATATATCTTCATAAGAACCTGGAGGGCCAGGTGAAATGTTAGAATGTTGGCCTCCTCAGGAATGTGGCGGCATGGAGAGAGGTGGCCCCCAGCCTACAACCTCTCCTCCACCCAGTTCTGTCGGTATTGTGAGAGGCCTTGCACACAAGTGAATGGACACTCCAGCCCGCACATCCAGGACCCATACACTCTCCCTCACACATCTGCACCTGGACCACCCATCCTTCCTCGGTGTACGCACATTGGTGACACAGTCTGCTGTCTGGAGAGAGAACCGGGAAAGATGACATCACAAGCCCTGGATGAGGGCTGGGCGCTATTTGGGCATGGAATTCTGGGATCATGGGGGTTTGGAGCTTGATCTAGAAGACAGGAGCGCAGGCTCCAGGTGGGCACTTCTCTTGACTCCACAGACGTTGCCTTATGGTGAAGGTGTGGCCAGAGAAAAATCAGAGTGCTCAACAGATATTTGTTGGTTTCTTACTACATGCCAGCACTGTTCTGGGCACATGGGACACATGAGCGAAAAAATCATAGTGCTTGCCCTTGTAGAGCTTATATTCTGGAAAAGGGAGAGACAGGCTATAAATACTAAATGTAATAAATATATAAACTATATAGTACATTAGAAGGTGAGAAGTACTGTAGAAACAATGAAAATTAGAGCAGGGAAAGATGGCAGGGTTGCAGTGTTAAATAGGTCAATCAGGGTTGGCCTCAACTGAGAAGGTGAGATTTGAGAAAAACTTGAAGGCAGTGAGGAGATTAGCTAAGCGGATAACAAGAGAGAGGGAAACTCAGGCCCTTAAGAGTATAGTGAGCAGCTTGAGGTAGGAATACAGTTGGCATATTGGAAGTGCAACAAAGAGACCAGTGACATTGGAATAGAATGGGTGAGGTGGAGAGTTAAAGAGATGTCACCAAAAGAACTGATGGCCCGATCATATGGTGCAGCACGGTCCCATAGAAATATAATGACAGCCATAACAATATAATTTTAAATTTCATGTAGCCACAATAAAAAGGTAAACAGAAACAGGTAAAAATTAACTTTAATAATATATTTTGTACAACTCAATTTATCTAAAATGTTATCATTTCAACATGTAATGTTTGAAATACAGATGTATTTTACACTCACAACACATCTCAGTTCATACCATCTGCATTTCAATCAGCTGCATAGGGCTAGTGGTTACTCTACTGGGTAGCACAGATATAGATTTTGACTCATCATTGAAAGAACTTTGTCTATTACTCTGAGTGACCTGGGAGACATTTCAGGGTTTTAAGAATTAAAGTGTGATGATTTGATTTAAATTTACAAAGATCAGAGCTAGCCTTAACTGAGACTACACCATAAGGGATCAAGAGTAGAAACAGGGAGACCTATTGGAGTAATCTTGATGAGGAATGATGGTGGCTCAGATGATGGCAGTGGATGACACAAGAAGTGGCTGAATTCTTGATCATTTTGAAGGTAAAACAAATAGGATGGATTGCGTTTGGTGTGTGAGAGAGTCAAGAATGACCCCAAGACTTTGACCTGAATAACAGGAAAGATGGATTGACCTCCACTGAGATGAGACAGGCTGCTGGACGGATGGGGAAGGAAGGTGGGCAGTTTTGGATAGGTGCGTCTGAGGAGTCTTTAGGCATCCAAGCGAAGATGTAGTGTAGGCAGGTGGATATGAGTCTGGAGTTTCCGGGAGAGTTTGGAGGTAAAATTTGGAGACCATCACCCTTGAAACTGGATAGGATTACCAAGGGATAAGAGTGGATAAAGAAGAGAGTACCACGGACTGAGTACTGGAACGTCTGAAATTAGGCAGTCTAAAAATAACATGAAATTGACATTGAAATAATACCATATATTTTAGCACTTTTGCATTATATTTAGTTTTTAGAAATTTTAACACAAATGTTCATAACTGTCATTATGATCTCATTCATTTTACTGAACAACTATAACTTTAGATCAAACCTAAAGCTTTTTTGTGACTTTTTTTTGCTTTAAAATCTCTCACAAACTTAAGTAATGAACTCATATTATAGACAAGTACATTTAAACAATAGAGAGTAAAAATAAAAATTGTGTTTGTAATCAACTTAGGGACTATAATAAGTCTTTAATATAAGCGGTTTATATACGTGTTCCTCAGAGATGAATAAGGTAACTATTCTTTGATAAATATAACATTAAACACCAATACAGCAGTTTGAAATCTGTCCCACAGTCTACAAACTCATGCAGCTTTGTTTTATTTATGATAAACTTACCAATTTGCTTTTTTAATATAAAGTTTGATCGATGGTTATATGTTCTTACCTCATTGTAGGTAGTCTGTCAATGAATTAGATCTTTATCCCTTTAATTGTATTAAAATCTCAGGTATGAAGAATGCACCATAAAACAAAATCCATTATTTTACCAAAAGCACATCGTGACTTTAAAAAAAGATACAACTCATACTTCAAATGAGATTCTATCCCTTTGTGATCTTGTATATCAAGGCAATTATTTACTATACAATGTGGAAATCAGTGTATTAAATTAAAAGCTGAAAATTAGAATTAAACAACTCATTTTTGTCTAAGTGACTACATAAACATACTGGCAATCTTTAATTTTTTAACACAGGCAATTATCTGTGTCTTTTCAGTCTATTCGAGAAGTCACAGGCTATGTGTTAGTGGCTCTTAACCAGTTTCGTTACCTGCCTCTGGAGAATTTGCGCATCATTCGTGGGACAAAACTTTATGAGGATCGATACGCCTTGGCAATATTTTTAAACTACAGAAAAGATGGAAACTTTGGACTTCAAGAACTTGGATTGAAGAATTTGACAGGTAAGGAAAATATCCAAAATAGCAAATATATTGTCTTTACCAATGTAATGTGATAGACATACGAACACACGTGTGTGTATAGTTACTGCAATATGTGTTACATTGAGAAACACTAAAGCATTTAAAAATCTACTATGTATTTATCTTATGGGAAATGCTGCCCTATGATGCCCTTGCTTTGTTTACAGATATTGTAAGTGCAGTCTGAAGGATACCGTAATACTGTATCTCAGCTGAACAGAAGTACACTCTAAGGAAATGCTCAGTGACTGAAAACCGAGATAGGAAGCAGGTTTAAGAATGCTGTGTTTGGTGGTCTCAGGTGAACAGTGGACCATATCATCAAATCTCTGCAGTAACACCTCTACTTTCACTCTTGTTAGAGCTCAGTAAATACACAAGCCGTTACATCTAGTTCCGCTAATCTAGTTTTCTGCACAATCCTTTATTTTTGGAAAACATATCTACTTTATTAATTCAGTTTTGATTTCTCTTATTCAGTAACTCACTAAATGCCATCAGTAATTCTTTCTCAGAATGCTTTAATATCATCAGTATTTTTCCTGCCTAAGATTGGAGATAGGTAATTGTTTACATCCTAAAATTACCATCTTGCAAAAAAACCGAAACCACTTTGTAGGAATTTGTTTTGTAAGCTGGTCCTTGCAATCCCACTGATACCTTTTCAGTTCATATAGTTCGTAGTTCATAAAGACTATGGTGGGAGTCTTTTTGGTACAAAGTTTCTAGTCATGAATTTTGTCATGTATGCCTATAATCAAAGTGTGCTAATTAATAATTGATTATCATCTCACAGTGAGATAAAGGAGTTTAAACTATTAATTTAATCTAGATTAATATGATCTATATATTTTAAATCAAAATATGTAGTGATTTTATGTGTGTTTGAGTCCACTCGGTGACAATGTTTCTTGATCTTGAAAAATGAAATATTTTAGAGGTACTGCCCTAAAATATTAAGTAAAAATAAGATTACTATTGTCAGGTTACTAAAATTATTTGTTTCCTTTATTTATAGTGGATATAAAATATATAGTTTTAAGTTTGATGTAGCTTCATAATCAGCAAGATGTGAGCTAAATTTGGGATATTTTGAGTGAATAAATGCATACTGACTATGTTATTTATTTTGGACATGATTGGTATAGAATTGATGACATAGTGGTAAATGCAAATTGTTCAGAATTTATAGATTCTTTCATCAACATTTTTACTATTTTTTCTTCCAAAGATAGTTTTTTACTGCGGAGCAGAATGTTTGACTAAATTGCTACTTGCGTGGAAATAATGATAGGAGGAAGAATTTTGGAAATGGAATAGATAGAGAAAAATTGAATGATTGAAATTAGAGTCTAAAAATAATAAGATCTATTTAAAACTTGCATAAGAAGCATTGTGTTTTCTTCCTGATTTTTCCCTGATTATATTAAAGAAAAATGATTAAATTTCTTTTCAAACTTTTTACAATACTTGAATTATATTATTATTCCATAATATGTGCTATTTAAAGAATTTTCCATATGGAAAATTAGTCTTTAAAAAATTCTCTTCTTTATTTCTGCATTTATCAAAAAGAGTTATTTAATCAAAATGATGCCACATTTAAATATACCTTACCTGTTGAGGGATCTCATACCACGTGTAACTTATGATAGTAACAGTTCTTTAACTTGTGCCATACCAAAATATAACACTATTAGTTCAAAATATGAGTCCCTACTCTACCAGAAAGCATTATGATATTCTTGTGTAGTAGTAGAAATGGGTAATTAATAAAAGATTAAAAGGATGAGTTTATTTTTTAGGAAAAATAGTGTTTGTTCAAGAATTATTATTAATTTATTTTTTGAGTAATGAATTAAAGAAAAGTACAATAAAATAAATGGAAAATTTATACAATTTGGAAATTTTCCAGATATTTTAATATATTTATTAGGTGGTAGACAATTACATGACAACATTATTCTGTGAGATAGTCTAGAATCATTGATCTTAATTTAGGTAATCGGATCAATAGTGTAACTCCAATTTTCATCAGAATTTACACAATAAACATGATTGTGTTTGTGGGTAAGACTATATGAGGAAGGACAGGATGCCCCTAACTGTTCATATAAAGAGGAATTTGGGATAAAATTTGCTGTATAGTAATAACTTAAAGAGCTAAATGTTCTAGATAACCTGATTAAATTAATAAGGAACTATTTCAATTCACTTCAGATGAGATGGTTTTGGTGTTTTGTTATTTTATGTTGTGTATTTATGTGCTATGAAAATCAAGCTGATAAAATTAAAAAAAAATAATAATGTTATATTAAGTGCAGGGCTACAGGGCTGGCCCTAATTATAGACTTACCTTGTGTAATAATAGGGGAAATACCTCACTGCCTAACTACCATAGTGGATTAAATTTTTAACTCAGTTCTTAAAGGACCAGTGACATCAGCCTCACCTAGATATTTATTAGAAGTGCAGATCCTTGGGCCTCACCTGATAGATGAGAAACTCTGGGAGTGGGGACCAGCAATGTGTGTTTTGAGGATCCCTCTGTGATTCTGATTACTACTAAAATTTGAGAAATACTGTTCTAATTAATTAAAGATATGTTACCAAGAAATGGTAGCACAATATCCAGTTAACCTCTTCACACTTACTTGATCCAAATCATTTTCATTTATTTTTCATCTCCTGGAGAGAAGGGAAGGAATGCAACAGAGAAAAGATAGGTCTTGATTGAAAAACAAGAAATACATCTTCAGTTGGCATGAGGATGAAAAGAAACGTGTGGGTATAAAAGGGCTTAGAGATGATCGAGATATTGGGAATAATCTTTCTTCTGTATCACCATTTTGTCTCATGCCAACTTTGCATAATGGTAAACCATCACAAAGACAATAAAAATTCGTGATGAATTTTCTTTTTAAGCAAAATTTTACTATTGAGACTTTTTAAATAAGTTAAATAATTACTAGTTGTGGGGATGAGAAGTACGTACAGCATTATAACAATGAATTTTGAGGTTAACATTTCAAGGCTTTTTGATATGTGATATATATATACACACACACACATATATATACATATATGTATATCAAACAAGTTTTTATGTTTAGCCAGAAAACATGCTTGTGTCTCATCTTTGGGTACAACCAAAAGTGAAAGTCTCCACATAAGATCTGTGGTAATATCTATAGTCCAAGGAATTAGTGTGTTTCTCTTGAAGTCTTTTTGATGTGTTGACGTTGGAATAGCATGCTTTTATGCCAGTACATTTGCCTCCCGCAAACTCTTTGTGTAAAAGGCATGTTCGGTTAACATGAGGACTGTCATATTTAAGGGTTAATGGTTGGGTACTACTTGCACATATATAAATTAACTTCTACCTTACATATTCTCATTAATTAGATTGATGCTCACCGAAAGCTATTCCTTGGCGTATAGACGTTACTACAGATCTTACCTAGATACTTTCATTTTGGTTGTGTCCAAAGACAAGAAACACACTTAAACATATTTTCTGGGTAAACAGAAAAACTTGTTTTACTGCTGCCACTGACATTTCCCTGGTCCACTATGGGTGAGGGGGGGTAGCGTGGAGAAAAGGCATATCCCTAGACTCAGGATATGCCACACGATCTAAAAGGGAGTAAGGAGATTCTCTTGCCAACCTTGAGGTGCCCTGTCACACGGGGTCATCCTTTTCTGGTCAGAAGAGAGACCATACTTCTATCAGTGTGTCCCTTCAGGCATATAATCATCTCAAGGCCATCGGGAGTGACACTACTCCATCAGAGGAGTACCTAGCTGGAGAGAAGTACATGACTTCCTCTGTTAAGGTCACTTGCGTGTGGCTGTGGTTCTTATTCATCACTCCCAATGACGATGCTCTGCTGATTTTTTTTACCAGCTCCTTCAACCTTTTTTTTACCAACCTCCTTCTAACTTTTAACATTCCTCTTCAAAATCCAAACCAACATTTAATATATTTACAATCTTAAGTCTGTGAGTTTCTACTTATTTAGTCATCTGGCCAAAATTAAGCTTGTTTCATTATATGGGACATAAACACCACTATTATTTTCTCCTTTCTATAATTTATAAAATTACTTCACCTATTAGGAATAATGGATAATATTACACAATTTCATCTATGTTATATTGTATATATGCAGGAATCTTTGAGAAATATCTAAGTTCGTAGCTATTCTGCTAGTCATATCGTATTTATAATGATGATAACCTAGGTACAAATTTAATACATGCATACTTGCATTTATCACACCAAATTTCACCTTAAGTATTTGAATTTTTATTTTATGATTTGCGAGAACATTTCTTTGAGTAGGTAAAATTTGGGATGATACAAATTTACAATTTATGTTTTCCAAAATTAAATACTCTGCTTATTTTCAGACCAGCACATTCCTGTATTAGTGCCTTTATTTAATATTTTATGGATAGTCTAATTGTTTGGTTAACTGTGTATTGGGTCATCTCATTTAGATTATTATTTGAGATATGGACAAATAAAAATTTTAAACAAAAAGTAAAATGCTGAAGTTACTTTGGGGAGCCTTTAGTTATAATGTAAAGGATATATTAAGTTTAGTGAATTCTGGTAGACTAAAAATAAGATAAAATGCTTAGTGCAGGAGCTACAATATCTGAATGATGTAAAATTTGAACAATGTAACATCTGAACGTCTGCCTGCAAGTGTGCATAGGCTATTAACTAAAAAGTACATTCAAGTGATGCAGTAACTTTTAACATTTAAATTTCTCAAATCTTTTCAGAATTATCCAGTAATGGTCAAAGAAATCACCTAATATTGAAATGGACAGGTCACCTGTAATTGACTGAATATATGTCAAAGAACATTGATGTGGAATGAGAAAAAAAAATCTCTGTTCAAATGTCAGATCACCGCTTACAGTCTGGGTGTCTCTCTGAGACTGAGATTCTTGATCTTTAAAATCAA